CCGACCGGGAGGCCTGGTGGGGCTGAGCCTCTGTCCCGGCCAGGTGTGGGCTATCGGCGAGTACCTGTCAGTGACCTGCGACCGGAGGTGCACTGTGGAGCAGATCAACAAGTTCTTCGAAGCCCTGGAGGCCCTGCTGTTCGAGGTCACCCAGTCCCGGCCCTCCGCCGCCCTGCCCAGGTGTCCACCGCAGGTCATCACCGTGCTCATGACCACCCTGACCAAGCTGGCCTCCCGCAGCCAAGACCTGATTCCCAGGTACCAGCCTGGGAGCAGAGAGAGGGGAACCCGGCAGCTTTCCATGGGGAAGAAGGGCTTCCGAGCTCCTCCCCGTTCCAGGTGTCTTGAAACAGCCCAGCAGTGCAGGCGCTGGGTGGGCACCACCGAGCCAAAGCCTCAGATGCGGGCTTCAGGGAGGGGCCCAGACTCCCTCCACACAGACCCCTTCCGAGCGAGGGGAGCGTCTGCAGTTGACAGGCCTGGACGCCCTCTCCCCAGGGTCTCTCTGCTGCTGTCAAAGATGAGGACCCCAGCCCCGAGCCCAGCCGCCAGCTCCACACACGGCGAGGAGGGCACGGAAGCCATCCACACCCGGGCCACGGAGCTGCTGAACCTGCTGAAGATGCCCAGCGTGGCCCAGTTTGTGCTCACGCCCAGCATGGAGGTGTGCGACCCCCGCTACCACCGCGACGCTCACACGGCCCTGCCCCTGGCCCTGCACACGGTCAGCCGGCTGGTGGACAGGGAGGCCGGCCTCCCGCCGGGCTGAAGGGGTGGGACCAGCTGGACGCCGGCCGCAGATTAGGCGCCTGGGTCCCCAGCCTGGTATTAGGGCCAAGCTGGCGGCTTAGGGATGAGAGCGGAACTCCGGAGCCGGGTGCTGCTGGGAGGGCGGCTGGGCTCCTCTGCTGCTGCCCTTCCGGGCTTTGGCTCTTAATCCCGTGCTGGGCTGAGCCTCGCTGTGTGGGCGCCGATTCGTGGTGGGGGCCCCTCTCTGGGCCGAGTGGAAGCCTCCCGGTCTGCTGCTTGCTCTGCCTTGTTTCTGGACAGTCTGGGGCCGAAAGGGATACCGCAGAATAAAGCTGCTTTGCCGGGTCTGGGTGAGCAGGGCAGGGGTGTTCCCTTTCTCTCCCCGCCCCGCGCAGGGGGATGGCGCTTCGCCGGCCGCGCCTGCCCCTTGCCGGGCCTGAGGGCACCGCCGGGCTGGGGGCGGCTAGGGGCTGTTCTTGGGCACAGTCCCTGAGCCGGGGGGCTGTCGCGCCTCGGCCCCAGGGCCCTTGATGGCGCAGAGGGGACGTCACGCGTGTGCACAAGGAGG